GGTTGGGGCCATGAACATTTGCCAAAACCTGCATACAAGTAACGCTCGAGCCACGGAGGTTGGGGCCATGAACATTTGCCAAAACCTGCATACAAGTAACGCTCGAGCCACGGAGGTTGGGGCCATGAACATTTGCCAAAACCTGCATACAAGTAACGCACTTTGTACAAATCACAGTTAGTGCTCCCACCCCTCCCACAAAGGCTCTCATTGACTCCTGTTTTTTTCCCCACGCCCCTAAACTATTATTCTAATTTCCACCCGCCTTTACACGGCAGATTTATTTCACGAACAGGTTCAGAAAAACAAACGAAAATATTAGGACCCAAATGCACTTGCGATTGATTTTTTTATTATTTTTTTTTTTTTTGAAATCTCAATTAGAGAAATTAGAGCAGTTATCGGGAATTTTATTTCATGAACTCAAGAGTCATCATATTTATTTCAATTGAAAAAAACAAAAAAAAAACAGGGAAAACTGATTTTTTGGGTGTTGGGGCTGAAAGTTTGAAACTAGGTGGGTCAATCTTTGAGGAAAATTGAAAATAATAAAAAGTTATTTTAAGGACCATTTAAAGCAGGGATGGCCAACCCCTGAATATTATTCAGAATAATATTTCCTGCCGGAAACGCACCTAATGTTTGTTTTTTGTTGTTGTTAATTAAAAGTAAACAAGCAAGATGGCTACAGCTTCGACCACATCATCGCTTCCCAGTAGGTGAGATCGTGGTCAAAAGCTTGCCTGGTTCAATGTGAAAAAATACAAGAAATGGGTATATTTATTTCTTTGAAGAAAATAAAACATAACTGATAATCAAAGATATTCATTAGACAATTTAAAAATATTGAAAAGTGAGACATCCGACTTTGTTTTGCAGAACTAAGTGCGTCAAAATTGATCTCGACTGATGTTGTCGCTACACGCAAACATTTTTCCACTTAATTAACATGAGTAATTCGTGTTCTCACTTTGTGATTTGATGTGCTTCATACGACTGAAGAGCTGTTCACTCGCGTAAGTGCTTCCAAAGTAATAGCGAAAATACATTTTATAAAACTCTTACACACCAACTTGATGGAATTTCTCTTTTAACTGTGTACCCCAACACATTTCACAATATTCAATTTGTATTCTTCTTGGTAATAAGTTCACCGAACGTTGCAAATGCACACAAAAGCACATGATGGTAGTGTTCGTTGCTGCATCCATATATACTGGCATATGTGCAACCATGTTGTTGGTTTTTTTTTAAATCCAGTAATCGGTTTTCAAATTCGAGGGGATCATGTACTTTAAACCGCCTTGTGGCGTCACCTGCCATCTACTTAGGAAACAACACTGTGCACAAGTCTCATCTGGGTTGCGTATGTGCTATGGCTGCTAAATTTAGTTCGTGCACGTGGTTGGCTTCCTTCGCGAGATCATTCTTCCGGTCGGGGCATCTATCGTGAGTGGAATGCCTTGTTTTGTATGTTTTGGAATGTTTTGTAAGCAGAACAAGTGTTCATCCACGGCGCTCCTTACTTTTGATTAATGGTGGTTTAACTTGCTGATTGGTATGTGTTTACCACTATAATTGCACTTTTTTCATCCATGTTATAGTTTTAATAGCAAGTTTAGACCGAAATATCTCGATCCCCATTTGGGGATCTCATCTGATACTGTCTTGAATTTTAGCAAATATATCGTAATTGGGTTTTACAATAAATGGCGTGACACAGGGTCCTCTCTTGGAAAGAAATGGATGATTGATATCATAAATGACGATATGTTTCTGAGTTCTGATGAAGAAAATGATGACAATCAGGGTTTCTTTCAGCTATATCTCCGGGGGACTGCCGCCCCGAGGAAAACCAAGTGCCCCCCGGAGCAAAAATATGTCCAACAATAAACCAACTGGCACTGCCAGCCCCCCCCCCCCTGAAAATCTAAAGTGCCCCCCCGGGGGAAAATTTCTGAAAGAAACACCGATGAAAATGGTCCTATAGATATCGTGGAACTTACTCCAGATCGAGTTGACCAAAGTGTCCGACAACGAAGATGTTGATGACAACAGAATTGACGATAATGTAGCGGGCGATTTTCTGCTCCCAAACAGGCTACTGTAGCCAGATGCAAGTCTATGAAAGCAATCTACCAGCACCGATGATGACGCACACGTGTCTAGGCTTGAGGCATCTTGTTTTGAAAATGATTTCAGTTTAGAAACATCAATGGCTCACAGGATTTACTTTGACGATTTCTTCACGGGACACTCATTGGTGAAATATTTACAGGATATTGGTGTCAGGGCAACAGAGACTGCACGATTCAACAGAATGAACAAATGTAATATTAGTGTCAGGACAACAGAGACTGCACAATTCAACAGAATGAACAAATGTAATATTAGTGTCAGGGCAACAGAGACTGCACGATTCAACAGAATGAACAAGTGTAGTATTGGTGTCAGGACAACAGAGACTGCACGATTCAACAGAATGAACAAGCGTAATATTGGTGTCAGGGCAACAGAGACTGCACGATTCAACAGAATGAACAAGTGTAGTATTGGTGTCAGGGCAACAGAGACTGCACGATTCAACAGAATGAACAAGTGTAGTATTGGTGTCAGGGCAACAGAGACTGCACGATTCAACAGAATGAACAAGTGTAGTATTGGTGTCAGGGCAACAGAGACTGCACGATTCAACAGAATGAACAAGTGTAGTATTGGTGTCAGGGCAACAGAGACTGCACGATTCAACAGAATGAACAAGTGTAGTATTGCGACTGATATGGGAACGAGGAAAACAGAAAGTGGAACATGCGACTACATATTATTTCATTCCCAGAATGAATTTTGGGTGTCACTTGGAACGATAACAGAGTATACAGCTGCTCAGCATGAAATGACAACAGCTGTAATAGCCTACACAACCATCATGAAACCATCGACCCAATCTCACAGGTGAAGCGATGGAGTAAGGCTAACAACTGTATACTTTAAATTGATGAATTACTATCAATATGCAGAACATTAATGTAACCTTTATTAGTGGTAAATGACACTTAAGGACCACTTTAATGTAGCCATTAAAATATAATATTGTGATTGTTTCTTAATTTCAATTTTTGGTGCTCAATTATAAAGAATGAATATCATACTTGAGATATATCAGCTGTTACGTAACTATTAAATACATTTTATACACAAATAGAGAAAATATGAAAACAACACACTTTCTGTTTGGCTTAATTATTTTATTCAAACAATGTAAATAAATGTCATATCTGCATACAACATTGTCAAGCCACAAAGGACTGGAAGATGTTAGCCGTCAGAGTCACCTCCCTTGACAACAAAAAAATGCAACCAAAACCATCATTTTGAAATAAAAGAACATGTATAACATATTGAAATACATGTATACCATATTGAAATACATGCATACCATATTGAAATACATGTATGCCAGATTGAAATACAGTATACAAATGGAAATAAAAGGACAGATTTAACCTACATTACTTATTAATTTGAGTCAGTCTCAAATACTGGTTTATTTATTAACGATATGGACAACTATCTCTTTATAATTCTTTTTTATAAACTCACCCTTGCTAGAAACCAAATTTAATCACAGGGCTAATTAAACCAAGATAAACTCTTTTTTTAAAAATTTAAATAAATTTGTGAGAATAGACAAGAGGAGATTACTCTGCTTTCACTTATAAAGCGGAGTAATTTGAGCACATCAAGTGATTGGTTATTATTCATAAACACATCATTTCTTTGGCATCTGTCCAAAGACCTTAAAAAGAAATTTAAAATGCTTCAAATAATACATTATAAAATGTGTCTCTTATAATCAGAAATGTAAAGCGATTAATCATGCCCACTGTGTTTACAGAAGAGCTCTAATCGGCTCATAAAGAGTAGGTGGATGCAGATTTACACAAGAGTCGGTCACGGATTATCAAATGATTATACAAAATCAGAATAACAAATAATGTTTTGATCAGCTGTCCAGATAAATGGAACCTTTATCAGTCAGGAGTTCACTGACGTCATAACTGGTTATGGACGCTGTCACAACATTTTAAAAAAGGAAAAAAATAGATAAATCTTCTTAAAAATTTGATCAAAGACGTAACTGTTTAAAAATCTTGCTATTTGACATTTTGTGAAATCACATTCAAATCAGACTACATACATACAAGCCAGTGATGGCTCAAATAAAATAAAATTTCAGTAGGAGCACCATGGGACAAAGATGACATAGTGACAATAGGAACCTTCTCATTTGTGAAATGTGGCACAAAAAAAATACAATTCAACAACACAAAACCCTCATCTCTCCCCTGCCAATGAGGGCCCTGCCCTGCCACTGAGGGCCCTGACCTGCCACTGAGGCCCTGCCCATGCTGTCATCTGTTTTATTTAAAACAGCCAGCAACAGCTTGAACAGATTAGATATGGTCTGGGCCACTGACAGCAAACACTTAGTGAGCAACAGCTGGTCAATTTGTTGGCCACCAGCCATAGAAGCAGTGGAATAATGTTTTAATTTGCTGTGATTATTATCATCATGTAGACAATTCTTCACTGTTATTAACTTTTGCCAAAGGGTTTTTAGAGATCACAATTTGCTCAATCTACAAAAACATGAATCCATCTCTGGGAAGGGCTGGTGTGCCAGAATAAAGATTTCAGCCTGCCACAGGTTGCCCACCCCTTCTCTATACCTGTAGAATAAAAGCTAAAAGCTTATCACAGCATCCTCCACAGAAATATAACTTTTATTTAATTTTTGGTGATGCGCACTTGAGAAAGGCTTTTTATAAAAAATGTATAAACAAATGGGACACGTCATAGCTTTTCCAGTACTTTTTCTTTTTTTATTTTCTACTAAACCTAATATATCCTTTATTCCAAACCATCTACCATATTTTCCGGCATATAAGACGACTTTTTAACCCATGAAAATCTTGTCAAAAGTCGGGGGTCGTCTTATACGCTTAGGGCCGTCTTATGAGCTGGTGTACAGCCAAACCCTAGATTTTAAAAGGAAAAGTAGGGGGTCGTCTTATACGCCCAGTCGTCTTATATGCCGGAAAATATGGTATCTAAAAAAATGTTTAAGCAGCAGAAAAAAACCATCACGACCAATTGTGTCCCCATCAAGATATCTTAGTTGAAGGTGAGAATAGTTTAACTTTTAGACAAAAATACCATGAGATTTATAAAGTAAACACAATGTTTCATTCAAGTTGACAGGTGAACCCATAGTACAGGTCCTTAAACTGGAGGTCACCAGGGGGGAATAGACTTCGAGGGCTTCATATTTAACACATTGAAAATGTTTATCCCCAAGGTTTATTACAAATTTTGTCTTATAAAATGAGGTTTTGCTGATAAATCAAGTTTGAGAACCATTGAAATTGAGTCACACAAACCAGAGAAGGCACCAACAACCAAAGAGAAAAAAATCAATTTACATGAGAATGCTGCCTTGAATACTTCAAAATTGATCTAAGTCATTTTTATTAATTACCTCACCAAAAAAAATATATAAAAAAAGAGAAGAAAAAAAGGTCCAGTGTAAAACATGAAGTATGCCAATAAAGTAGGACATACAGAGTTGAGGGGAAATAAGAAACATAAATCACATTATCAAGTATAATATAATAAGCAACAAGACTTTCATCCAAACAATAAAGACTTTTGAAATAGTATTAGCATTAGTAGTGACCCTTCAAAGGTTCATCATCATTATGGTACAATTTACAAAGAGAGTTAGTTATATGTGAAAACTTAACCCTAGTACTGTGAGTGGACACCCAAAGTTCTTCCAATCTGTATAACGTGGATTTTAGTAAAATACATAATCATTTAATAGTTGTGTATGCATGCCTTGAGTAGTTCCCAAAAGCACAATTAAATTACTTAATGAATTGTAATGGCAGATATTCAAATATGTAAGTTAGATTTTATCCACATTTAAACTTTTTCATGGCAAGTAAAATTATTATCATAAAAAAATAATGATGATAATAATTTTATGATAAAAATTTTACTTGTAGTAAATATCAATTAAAAAATCAGTAAATACAAGGTTGAAACACTGCCTACAATTAATCTGAAGAATATCCATACAAAATGTTTTCTATTTATTCCCTGTTACTCTTGTTTTTTTTTAATATATTAAACTTATAAAATAAGTGCAGCTTAAAAATGGCATTTGTGCTCCATTATGACAAGAAAGCGCAAAAGCCATGCACGAACCAGAGTTTATCTTTCATTCGTTCAAACAGGCGAGCCAGTAAACTCTTCCATTTTTCCAAGGCAGCAGATTTTAACTGGTGTGTCGAAACATATCCACAGTGCAAGATATTATCATTAAGGAACAAAACAACCAATTTTAATAATATTTCCTTTGAATAATGTTTTCAATGATAAACATGATAATGATTGTCTCTTCCATTTCCAGGCTACTAAAATCATCCCATAAACATCATTTCACAGTTGCATTTTTCTGTACCCCTTACAGCCCTAGGGTAAAATCATTCAAAACATAAGCAAAAAAATAAAATAAAAGAGGCTCATTTAACCATCGCCCTTTTGCAAAATAAAAACATTAATAATAATAAATGGTTTTCCTTAATTCACTGGTTTGATTTATCACAGTTGCCAGGTTCAAGCTCCAATCATTGCAATATTATGTCATTTGCTCATGCCTGTTTGGGCACCTGTTCATTTTACTCTCTAGTGTTGCTTAAAGCAAACAGATTTATAAATTATTATCTATTTATACATATATTATATAATGATGGCTTAGTATTGCTAAAAATGTTATTTAAAAGATCTAATTAAGAATTTATTGGCTTACAAAGCTAGTTAAACTGTTCAAATGGAGCCAGGTTATTCCCAGCAAGGATGCCCATTTCGATCGACCCATTAAATTCATTCCTGGAGAAACATTTGTATTATGAGCTCAAACAAAAGATTAAAATTAAAACAAACAATATGTGAACAAGCTCTATGCCCCATGATAAAACACTGTAAACAAGATTCTGTGTCAAAATATTAGAAACACAATTTGTACTCAAAATTCAATTCATACTATTCCTGGAGAAAAAGAGACTTTCATAAAATAAGAGCTCATTGAGACATGATAAATGCATTGCTGTTGGATTTTAAGGACAGTTACAAAAGGTCAAAGGTCATAGTTGGTGGGGGGTTTTAATGCTAAAACTTACTACTTTAGTTTCACTAATGCTTTTTTTTTTTTTCAAAACAAATTGTATTACTTTTTTTTAATCAACAAACTATACTATAATACTATTTAACTTTCTATCCAATAATTTTTTAGGTGCATGGCTGAATATATTTTTTTTAAATAATTAAATAGGAGCATCTATATTCATGTCATCTCAATTCACATACAAAATAAAAGTTAAGTTAATGACAAAATAATCAAGAGTTTAAACTTGTATACATATGTTCACGACTTAGGCACCAATTTAATTATCAAAGATGTACATGGTCAAAATAAGTGTCTAGGTAGGATAATATTGTTTCCTGTGAAACCCAGGCCTGTTGGTATAGATAGTATGAACAGACTCCAATACAGAAACCACATACCACATCAAAAATGTGATGCCTTCCTAAAAGTACCCTAGAAGTGCAAACACTCAGAGACCATATAATAGTGAGCAACATTAGCAAGTGATTTTTGAAAAGGTGTAGGCAGAGGAACAAGCCCATCATGGACGCTCGAGTAGCATGTCCTGATGGAAATGAAAACTTATCTACAGAGGCAGTCGCAAACATATCCATGATGTTGTGACTAGGTCGGCCTCGCTGAAATGTCATCTTCATCAATCCCACCACAATCAGGTCAAAAATAAGAGCTGGTGAGAAAAAGAGATTCAAAAGCTATTAGATTTATCAAGTGAGGAGAATTCAAATATTTTTTGCTTATCTCGTATTCTTTAGTAAAAATGGGTTATAATGGCTCAAATGATCAGACATGTATTCCATTTTTTAGTTTGATAATAGAGTCTTAATAAAGTTAATTAATTAATATTCTTCATCTGATTTAAAATCTTCATCTAAATCTAGTTTTTAATAAGTTGAAATGTTTATTAAAATATAAAAATTATTTAACAAAGTCAAGCATAAACAAAAGATTAAGTGCCATTTTGTGTTCATAACATTAAACACTTACCAAATAACAAATTTACTGCTACTTCAATATCATGGGGTTCATGGCAGCATAGAAATAGAATGCATGCTCCAAGAATCCAGGGAACACCATGACAACTTATTTCAAGCAATTTCATGAACGGTCGAAGGTTGGCTAGTGAAGATTCTTTGGTAGCGCATATAGCAAACTGAGCTGTGTAGTGATGGTCCAACATAAGGAAGGAATCCCACAGAGACAGGCATGCGGATTTGCATACCTGAGTAGCAGTTTCTTCTCCTGCTACATTGCTGTCATCTACCTTTTGGCCTATAGGTCGTTTTCTCATTTTGATCTGATGATTTGTAGACTGTTGGCGTTGGCTGAAAAAAATAGATTGTCTTAAAAAGTGGTTTCAAACATTTATCATATTCATTCTATAAGTGCTTTTTTTTACGTAGCTAATTTACCATGACCCTGTTGATTATAATCAGGCTAAGTCTCGTTAACCTAGTTAATTTCGTATAATGATATCAAAATGAGAGCCTTTCAGTACAAAGTCCAATGACATTTTATAGAAAAATAATATGAATAAGATCCTTGCTTATTTGTCAACACTGGCTGTTTTTCTTTATTTTTATCAGTTAAATAAGTTAAGAAGAAAATCATTGCAAAGAGAGATTACTGCCAAATAACTTACAGTTTTCAGGCATCAACACTCATAATATTAATAAAGGCCTAATTATTGATTTTCTGATATTTTTAACAGACTAGAATCTTCCAATATGATGAAATGAAGTATCTATCTAATTCTGTCTCTCCTCTGTTCTAAAGAGTTCTAATTCTTTAACAGGATTGAAGAAACATTATTGACAATTGTCATTGACTGTAGTATACTATACCAAGTCTAACTACAGCATGCTCATATTATGTTTAATTTAGTAGGCCCATTTTAAGTAATCTTTCAACACTGTCACGAAATATAACAATGAATGATAATAAGTTAATCTTTGACCTCCAACATCAGCAGACCAGGGACGGCGGGGACCACCAAGACCAAGTTAAATATTTTATATTATGAAAACTACCCAAATCCAAACTAACCAGCTATTTTTCAATGCCAAGATGGTAAAATATAAAACGTACCTTAAATTGAAACACAATAATTATTATATGATTTTTTAAACGTAGGCTAAATTAAATTGGGATAATCTGCTAATAAGACGACATCCGTTTACAGATTTGTTGGCCAACTCATAAATTATTTTACTACTACAAAAACTCCAGGAAGTTTACACTAGCCATCTTGAAAACACAGCTGTTTCCGGTAAAACGGAATTTGTACTCTCCGACAAACTCGCACATGATGTATTTTTTAATGTAGTTTCATTGTTACTTAAATAATTTTATTTTCGTTACAATAAATTATCCTAAGGTTGATATTATTTAACTATAAATGTAGTTTGATGTACAAACTTTTTCTTTAAAATGAAAACGCATTTCTTGGGTACATATGCTGTGGAGAGTATACTGACGTAAACAAAAGCACATGGTAACAGAATCTCTAAGGCCTTCGTGTAAAGATTCTGGAAGTACCAAATGCTGCAATAGCTTAAAATAAAAATCACGGAGGCCTTCACTGGTTTCAGATGGATCGTTCCGTTCACTCTACGGATGGAATGGGACACGGATCCTTAGTGGTTTGGAACGGGGCCTTGAACAAGGAAAATAACAATAGCAATGAAAATATATCGACCAGTAACGATAACGTTGGGCCGGTCATAAGAATTCTCGAAATAGAGGCGAAAATAGACAAAGAACCCACACAAATAGATGAAAGCTCATCTGCGGTGTTAAAGTATAGAACGCCTAATTTCAGGTATAGTTTGCTCGTCAATTTTCATTTCTATGACTCTTTTGATGTCAATAATATTATCATACTTGTCTAACTTGTTTTGGCTTTGGTCATTTGAAATGATAGAAATGAAAGATTTTGATTAATTTAGTCTTAGACTAGATAGTTATGGCATGGACTTGTTGTTGTCATGTTGGTCTGGTTATTTGTAGTAGTAATTATAATAAATACTAGGCCTATCAGTATTTACTTTAATACACTAATGACAGTAATGATGTGTTGATTTCTCAAGAGAGGCCTTAGGCCTAGGCCTTACTGCAACACACACAGTAACAAAATGATAAGACTAATAAAAATAATAAGAGAGATCTCTGAGCCAATCATGAATCAATAATAAGTTTTTTCCCCTGACAAATTTATTGTGTTAAACCTCATATAAACCATGCAGTAGGTCTATATATCATTCATTATAATTAATTAAAGTTAGAGGTAAATCAATTGATGCATCAATATATTTGATAGAATATGAGGATGTCATGAGCTATATACTATGAGTTTCTGAACTGATGTAGCTTCAAACATGTTTCATTGTTTAATATATAGCGCAATATAATATATGTCTTGGACTTCGAGCATTTACCAAAACTTTAAATAATGTGTCCATGTTAAAATCTCACTGTTAGAATTTAAGCCACACTATAAAATAAATTTCTAATTTAGACCTTGACCCTGGCTTACTGCACTTTGTGTTAATATGCTATATAATTGTATATATAGACTTCTATTTTAACTTTATTCTTATTTAACTTATTATGCATGTGTATTTTCTTATTTTGTCTGTGAAGAAATACACTGTTTCTAACAAATACATCTAAAGAAATATGCTTTGAATTTAAGAATCTTTTATATTCTCTATATCTGATTAGTTTAACCAAGTTGTGCTACTCATTTAGAAACTGTCCATGTTCAGTGTGTTTATAGGATGAATTTTATGTTGTTTTTCATTTGATATTCTTCATCTTAGTTTAGAGAGTTTCTGCTGTTGATGTTTTGTCTTATTATTGCAATGTTGATTAGGGCTAGTGCAACTGTGGAAATTTCACCATTTTCTGATAATGAAGCCTGGAAAGTTGGTTGGATTCAGGCATGCACAGATATGACATTTCACAACACTTATGGGAAAGAGGGATAGTGAGTTTATAGTTGGGTTTTGTGAAATCATTTTGAAGTTTTTATATTGTTCAACAATATGTTACACTTGCTGCATTGGTTTTAAAGTTTCTCTTACGAGTTTTATGCTTGACAAATGTTTTTTGTGTGTCTTCATTGGTTATATTATTATAAATTATTTGTGTTTCTTCATTGGTTATAACTTTTATAAGTCATTTATGTGTCTTCATTGGTTATGTTATTTCTATAAATTGTCAATCTGAAAATAAATTGATCAATGATCCAGTGATATCTTAGTACTAGGATCAGGAGGGTAGCTTTATATTTGCAAACGCACTAATGTAAGGCATCTATTTATTCCTAATCTTGTACTTGTAGTAATTTCCCCTTTTAAATTTCAAATGGTTAGCCCTGTCATGTGTTGAAATATGAGGATTTCCTAAATTTACAAAAATTTGACATAAGATCATCTGTGTCTATTATAAATTTACAAACAATTCCACTGAATTAAAGCTAACTGCTGTTGTTCAGTTATAAATAATACCAAGAACTTTTTTTTCCCCACTACCACACTATGTATGCAACATCTTCTCATTTTTTTTTCATCAGCACAAGTTGGGAGTTTCCTGAGTTGACATCAGGCAAGCAGACTATGATATCAGATTGTGACGGTCGTCATTACCCTTGGTATGGATCACGTAATGAGACAGTCATCTTCAAAGGCCCATGTGATCGTTATCAGACAGCCACTGTCTACATGAATGATAATTTCCATCCTCATGTTACCTGGAGAAACCCTGCCAACAGACATCAGCTGGAGCCTAATCTCACCCACATTATAAGAGACCAGAGCTTCTATGTCTGGCTGGTGGCCTGGAATATGGTTACGATGAAAAGCTTCGTCATGCAGGTCAAACTCATGTAATACTGTACTACCCATTATAGTCATCCAACATTCCTTTTCTGTTTTTTTTTGGTCAGGATTGTTTAAACTTCATCTTTGTTAAATAAAGAATTTCTGAAACGTTAACATTTACATGAAGCACAGCTTACTGTAAGGGATGGATTCTCAAGCATCTTATATATAGTCTCTCCTTATCATGGGAGAATAAAATCTCCAGTCTTGTCCCGCTTTTATAAGGCTAACATCTTGGGAACCATAAATGTGATGATTATGGGAATCTTTTCTTCTACCATTATACCAGCAAGAGTCATTGTGGTCAATCAGCTTCTACACATCTGTGGTATCTGTACATTCTTACCACATAGTTTCACCTGACCAAACTTTCCATACTGGCATTGTTTTTTTTAATGTCATTTAATTTGTTTCTTTGTTTTTTTTCCTATCTCATACCATGTAAGCTTTTTTTGGCCAGTCTATATTTCAACCTTAATACCCATGGAATCCTATCATCTGTAAGCTAAGTTGATTTGCTTTACTTATATTGAGAATAATTTCAATTTTTCCACTGATGAAGGATTTTAGCTTTTTTTATTTTATTTGCATATCATATTTTTTACGTGCATGGTTGTCTCTTTTTACACTTAAATTATTGTAATTGTAATGATATGAAACAATTTCCTTGGTGTTTTTTTTAACGTTCTCTCCTTCCTTTTTTAAAACTGGAATACATGCATTCTTCTAAGATCCTGAGCATAACTTATCTATATACACATGTAAAGCTTCTTCTTAGCAGTTCTTAATGATGTGCTCAACTGCAATTTTCAAGGGTCCACTCTTTTTCATGAATCAGTTATTATCTCTTGCAGTTTTGTATCTGCATGCGCAAACATTCTTTCATGACTCAGACATTAAAAAAATGAATCTCTATCTCTTCAGTTACGCATTAATTTTTAATCAGAGAGAGAGTTTCATTGAAGGTTCTTTCATTCATGTCACATTGTCTTTTTTAACTTGCAGATTTTAGGAATAAATTAATGTTAATTATCACTGGGATTTAAGATGATTTTCTTTAAAGAAACTAAAAGTTGAGGGAACCTCAAAGTAGTAATTTTAATTCAAAGTTTCCCACTTCAGCTTTACAAAAGAAAAAAAAATTTGGAAAAATGTATATTGTGTTTGAACACCTTTGATACTATTACAACCCACCTATTCTGTTTCGCCAAAGAAAATTTTCAAATCTTACTGTTTCGGCTTACAATATTTGATGAAAGTGTTCCATTTTTCTGTACATCTAATCCTGAAAGCACATCTGTTTAAAATAGTAGCTGGAAATCATGCGGTGTAATCATGTGAAACAGTGAAAATCATCTGCCCTTTGGTTTTTTGGGGGTTTTTCTGTGCCTCCTTACAGTAGTATTAATTTTAGAATTTTTCTCTATAAATAGACAATATCTTGGTGCATGCAGTTGGAGATCGCCATAGATCCTCGAAGACCTTTAGGTGAGAGAGCAACCCTGATCAGTAATCCAGTGCCTCGGCAGCCGATTATTCTTGACTACAATGTACCTATTCCACGCTGTGCTCTGACGCCACCCTGCGCCAATTCTGCCCAAATGTTGGTCTGGCACCCACGTCGTGGCAAGCCTGTCTGTGTCATCCCACCTGTATGGAAGAGCCAAAGTCGAAGTCCAAAGCGAGACAGCAAATTGTGAATTTAATGTTTCCTGATTTGATTTTTTATTAACAGCGCAATACCGTCTCAGGATCTAGTCAGCTAATTTATTTTAAATGGTGCACTAAATCACTACTAAATCTTAGGATCACTTCTAAGACATGTTTCAACCAAGTAGTTGTTGAAAAAACTTGAACATTTAAATTTTCTTTCAAACGTTGTTAAATTTTTTAAGCAGGGAATATAAAAATTCTATAATTTGTTGTTCTCTTGCCTTCAAGCGTGACACAATTTCATCTCCGGTTATTGGCAACCAAAAGATAATGAGAGATGTGAATGTTATTGGCCACTGATATAATACAAAAATAAAGAGGGAAGTGAGATTACATCCCTTATCGTCTATTTCAATCTAGTCAAAAAGCCTCAATTTTGTTCATGGACCACCAGATCTTTTTAGAATAAAAAAGAAACACAAGGCCTTTTTATTTATGTTTCCTTTTCTTGATAAATAGTAACAAAAATCCAACTTAATAATTTTGAATTTCTGCTTATGTTACAAAATGTTTAATGTGTGAAGCGTCATCATCTGTTTGTAGCAAAAGTTCAGTTGTTGAACAGGAACTGTTAATGAAATAATTTCCAAAACCAGTTAACATTGTAACAATTTTTTTTATCCGGAAATCAACAAAAGATATGAGTTTTGTAAGGGTCCTGGTGGTCTATGGACAAAACAATGAATGTTGAGAGTTGTTGAAATCTCTGTGTTCTGGTGACAAAGAGTTTAAGTCCTGTGACAGTGGCTGTGCAATGATTGGCTAATTGTATGTTTTCAGCAAATAAAGTGCTGGTTAATCCATCTTCATGATCCTAGAGAGGACGTTGTTGATATCACGGGAGATCTGGCTAAGCCTGGGCAATTTTGCCAGGCTAGTCTACAAAAAAAATAACAAGATCCAATTAACTTTGTAACTGGTTTGTTCTACAATCATGTTTATTTTAAGCTATTGCACAAGAAAAGAAGGTTGGTTTATCAGCTTTTGATATTTAAATATTTATCTTTTTTTTTTTTACACCTTAAAATTTGCTGAAGGGATGAGTATTTCTCAAGGTCTGTGGTTTTTTTACAGCCAGAATCGAATTGAGTTGAGGGTTAATTTTTAATCTACATATACTATTTATATAATCATTTTGGATGGATTTTTGTGTACAAAGAGTTAAAATCAACAGTGTTGTGAATATTATCAATTATGTTTCACTCATTTTGCTTACATTTCTTAACCTGAAATTCATTATATGCAACATGTTAGCTCCAACACTTGAAATTTGTCTAAGTGGCCAAACAAAAAATGTTGACATTTCAATATGTGGCCAGACATTTTTTATAAGTTTTGGGGTGTTTCATTTCTATTCATGAGCTATGACATTGAAGGAGGAAGGCATTCTGTGACATCACATTTTTTTAAAAATTACTTTGGGGGACATAACTTGTGGAACAAAAATCTTTTAAAAGGTTTAGATAAATGCCCTTGAATGTTTGCTAATCCAATAAATTATAATCTGGGGAAATGATTTCATGACTAAGGATGTCATATTTTACTGCAGCCAATTACTATTCTGTGGCTTAATAAAAATATTATATTTTTCTGATAAAATTATTCCACAGGTAATTTGTCTCAACACATTTAAGCAAGCAGTGATTATTGTTATGTATATTATACTTCTTTTTTTTTTTTTTTTTTGGAATTTGTGGCTCCTTGTGTTGACATTAACCAGGCTTTAGCCTATGCTTAATTCTGTGGCTTAATAAAAATATTATATTTTTCTGATAAAATTATTCCACAGGTAATTTGTCTCAACACATTTAAGCAAGCAGTGATTATTGTTATGTATATTATACTTCTTTTTTTTTTTTTTTTGGAAGTTGTGGCTCCTGGTGTTGACATCAACCAGGCTTTAGCCTATGCGTACTAAATTGTTTAGATATTTTTTTTCATTAAAATGTTTAATTTAACATTAACGCTGGGTAAGTATTCAATTTTAACAATTCTACAGATATATATTAGACCATGGAATTTGTAAATCATCTAATGATATTCATGTTGTGTAAGCTTCATTAGAATTGAAAGTTCAATGCTATCTTGACATTGTTAAACATGATGCCCACTCACCACAGCTCATAAGTGCACTAGGTTACAATGTAAGCACCACTCCTGTTGCATGTCATTGGCTCCTGTAAATTAACATCAGCACAGAGCAGTGTGTACACACACCCAGAACAGTGTGTGTGTACTGGTAATTAGAAGTCCACACATTGACAAGTATGAGCAATTTTATACACAGCTTCCCTTTTCATTGTTTATAACCATCTGTCTACAGTCACTGCCTGTCTTCTCCATTAGACACTAAATGTACGTGTAGCAGTATGCACATCTTCCCACTGTGCTTATTGCTATATTCAGAAAAATTGTGGATTAATTCAAACCTCATCCCTAAATTTTAAAAACTGGATTTGTTATCTAGAATTTATTCAGCTGATGTGTCAGCACCGCTGAGAAGAGGGTGGGGGGTGTTATTTGTTTTGAAAGACTTATATGTTTGTGTGTAGGTATATATATGTCTGTTAATATGTACATATATATGTGGGTTAAAAAAAATTCACTGCATATTATTAATTTATAGTGCTTCCATTGAGTCAGTTTCCAGTCTGACATCTCTAGCTACCTGTCTGCTGCCCACCTGTGATCATTCAAGCATTGGCCGATGTTGAAAAGGCGTGGTGTTCATTTAAGAATTAGCAGATGTTGAAAAAGCATGGTGTTCATTTAAAAGCATTGGCCGATGTTGAAAAAGCATGGTGTTCATTTAAAAGCATTGGCCGATGTTGAAAAAAACATTGTGATAATTTAAGCATTGCCAAATGTTGATAAATTAGAACTGTTTGAAGCTCAGGTTGATATTCTTATATATTATTGGAAATGGCTTTATACACCATAGTATCTACTTAATAAACATGAATATACAGCACTACACATAAGATTGTGTTGGTTTTTTTATTAATGCTGTCACGTGTCCATAACTATATATATAACATAGCTTTTTTTTTTTTTTATTATTATTAAGGTTGATTAATTACAAACCCATCGGTGATGGCCCGCGACCCCCACCTACCCATAAAAGGTAAATGCTACACAAATTTTAGGTTGCCATAATTCCCGTTAGTTTTGTTACATATCTACTTAATAAACATGAATATACAGCACTACACATAAGATTGTGTTGGTTTTTTTATTAATGCTGTCACGTGTCCATAACTATATATATAACATAGCTTTTTTTTTTTTTATTATTATTAAGGTTGATTAATTACAAACCCATCGGTGATGGCCCGCGACACCCACCTACCCATAAAAGGTAAATGCTACACAAATTTTAGGTTGTCATAATTACCGTTAGTTGTGTTACCATTGGATTTACGTCATGAAGCACCCCACGGTACTGAGTAGGCTACCTTTTACTTTCCAACATCCTCACAAAAACAGCTTTCACAACAGACCCTAACCATCACAGCTTTAGCAGACCTAACCATTACGGGTTTAAGAAATGTTGAAATTGTGCAAATGAAATACTCGGAATAAGAAGGATGTGATATGTCAAGGTCGTGAAGGATGCGATGTGGGAAGGCTTTGATGTTAATTGTCAAGGCCATGATCTGGTGTGTGAAGGCTATGATGTTATTGTGAAGGATGTGATGTATGAAGGCCGCTATGTGATGTGTGAAGGCCATGATGTTCGAAGGGTGGGAAGGCCGTGGTGATATTGGGGAATGATGTGTTGTGCAACTTGCTGCAAGTATTAGCAGCATCCATCTCCACACGATATGCATCTTTGGAGTTGTAATAATCGGGAAAAGGACATAAATATTATTATTTTTTTATTTAATTCATTAATTTCTCGTGACCCAACATGACCAAGCCATAACCTTAAAAGCAACCTGCCAATGCGGTTTCTGCAATATTTGTCACTCACGATCGGAGTCCCAGCTCTTTAATAGTTTTAGTTAGAAACTAGACCTCTCTATCTTTAGCAAGTCAGACATTTTCTAGTACTAAAGTACTAGTAGTCCTCGAGTATTGTCTTAAGACCCTTTCTAGTTTAATTCTCTGCGAGCAAGGTGGAAACAAAGATAGATGTGCTAAATTGAAAGGGCAAAAACGTTGAAATAAAACTATAATTAATAACTTCAAATTATTGATATAATACCGGCATGGGCGCCCGCAAGGGGGGGGGGGCGCAACCCCCCCCCCCATAAGACCCTTTCTAGTTTAATTCTCTGCGAGCAAGGTGGAAACAAAGAAAGATGTGCTAAATTGAAAGGGCAAAAACGTTGAAAAAAAACTATAATTAATAACTTCAAATTATTGATATAATACCGGCATGGGCGCCCGCAAGGGGGGGGGGGCGCACACCCCCCCCCCTGGATTGATTGGATAAAAAATTTGTAGACAAAAATAGACAAAACATTTATTAAAGTAAAGAGAAAATAAAGAGAAAGTAACTAAGCTGATGTTCTGTCCGTTCGTTCACCATACAAATACGCTACAGTAAATTAAAACTACTTTAAAACATTACTAAAAAAATTTTGCCCCCCCCCCTAGAAAGTTAATCACTTTTTTTGCCCCCCCCCCCTAGAAAGTTTTCTGCGGGCGCCCATGAATACCAGTATTATTAAATCCCCAGTCGGTGCAGCAGTTAGGTTTACTTTATAATTTAAAAGAAAACAAACATATTATTATTCGCCTACCTTTCTTTAACACTTATAATTGGAAACATACTTTTCAACAAATAATATACACATTTACATCTAGACCGATATTTTCATGATTCTTTGCCCCAGCCCAAAAATGCCTAGCATCATTTATTTTTTTTAAATATCATTGATTTTCATTGCCCTAGCCTAGGGATCGGCAACCTTTTGAGACAGAAGAGCCAAAGGTTACAATTTACAAAATTTCCCAGTTTTTAAAGAGCCACTAACATTTTTATTTCAATATAATTATTAATATTTGCGCATAGAACTGGAGAGCCGCATCTTGACATCAAAAGAGCCGCATCTTGAAATCAAAAGAGCCGCATGCGGCTCGCGTGCCGCAGGTTGCCGACCCCTGCCCTAGCCCAAAAAAACAAAAACAATTTTAAAATACTGTTTTTAAGATCTTGGTCCATGCAGGAACACATCATTAGTTCTAAAATTATGGTCTGTGGCAAACGTGTGTTCCGCACAGGAGACATTTTTTTATCATTTCAATTGAGCATAATCAATTCTTATTAAATACACATTTTTTTTTTTTTTTCAAAATCGAGTTTAAAGCTTTGCCCTAACATTCATCTGCTTTTGAGAATTATCTCCCTGCAATTCCAATTCAGCCAGGGGAGAAAACTGGTCTCATTTGATTGATATAGAAATGGAATTCTGAAATTAACCAGAAATAGATTAAGAATATCAATTTCGAATCAGCAATCCTTCCTATTTTGGCACTTCAAACTTATTTTTAAAATTGCCTTTGGTGTTGTTAAATCATTTAATTTCCACTGTCACATCCCACTTTAAACTATTTACAGGCCTTTTTAATAGTGACATTCTGTTTTCTATAGTCCAGTCTGTATAGTCTATTCTTTACAAAATTTATATCTGCTCCTTTGCAGTCTTTTACAAATCTAAGTGCCCAATTTTAGCATTACAGCCCAATTAACTTTGCCCTATTCCCCATTGTTAACATTACGCTTGATACAATCATTGCACTGCCATACACTAACCAAGCCCTGATTTTTCCTTCTTGTCTTTTCCTTTTTTTTTTTTTTAAATAGCGTTCCACAGATTTTACGTAAACGTAATTTTACTTTCCATTCCCCTCTTTTTCTCTTTTGTTAAAAATAGAGGAAGCCAGCGTTATCTCGGGTCAAAGTCTAAAAGCCAGCAATTCGAATCGCCGTTAGTGCAAAAGCTGAACTAAGGTCTTCATTTTAATGTTACTGCTACCAGAGACGCTATGACTGTGGTGTGGTCTCTACTGCCTACTGACTGTTACCCACGGGTTTAGTTATTCAAGTTAATTATTGTGTAGGCCTAACATGTACAATTAATTTATATATCCTTATAAAATTTAACTCACTGCTTTGTTCATTGTGTCTTGATAAGTGCGATGCTAGCAAAAGCAGTTTGTTCAAAGATTCTATAAACGCCGCTGCTAAACTAAATTAAAAACGAAAAAAAGGCCAAGATTTCAAGAACTTATAGCTGTCATTTTGTTTCCGCCAGTGGTGTTCGGCTTGTGTACGTTCAGGCGACAATGGAAAGCATGTCACTGGATAACCCAGTTTTTCGTGTGTTCTTGGGCCACAGTGTGCTCGTTTTATTTAAAACTTGTCTTATGAGCGTCATCACAGTAGCTGTTTACTACGGAAGCCCTGGTGAAAAGGTCACGTAGTGCATATTGTGTGTTGTGTTTGTAAAAACTGGTACCCTGCAGTGAATGAATATATCATCTCTCTCTCTCTCTCTCTCTCTCTTCTCTCTCTCTCTCTCTCTCTCTCTCTCACACACACACACACATATACACACTCCCCCTTTCACAACCACCTGAAATTCTCCCGTACAGTAGTTATTTCTCTCCGAAAATCAATTTTACAGGACAGGCTACTTCTGCAGCGCAAATTTAAGATTTTTTAAAATCATTAATTGAACAAATAATGTTTATTTATTCCACCGGTGAAGTCTTTCACGTCCACATTTGAACTTGGTGTTGATTTTATTCTCCCGTTTTAAATTAATTATCAGAATAAAGTTAAACGGGGGAAAAAAATCAGAACAGTGAACAGAAAGTTTTAGTCTTTAGTTCTCATGAATGTGTATTTTATGATACAACCTTTTAAAGCACACCCATGGAAAAAAAATCCCCTTTAAAAATGTAAGCTGTCAATTTGAAATTATGCTATAAGGTTTTGGTTTTTACTGGTACGAAAATAAAATACACAAGTTTTTTTTTTTTTTTTGTGGCTTTGTTTTATTGACTGGGGCAAGGGTCCAATTTCAAGGGAATGAGTTTGAGTCATATTAAAATATATAATTATTTAATAAGTAAACTCCCCTTGATCGGGACTCGAATATTTTTGGAAGTAAAAGTGTGTTTTTTTTTGTTTGTTTGTTTTCTCTCTTCCCCCCCCCCCCCTTCTTTTCTTTTTTTAATATTGCCATAGAAACATTAGAATTATATTATCTGTATCGCTTTTCAGTGAAAACTTTTTTTTGCATATAATTATACATTATAACTAACAAGAAGTAATTTAACTACTTTCCAACGTTGTACTATGTAGCAATAGTTTGAAAATTTTTGCACAACACAAAGTCTTAAAAGTTATATAATATAATATATAATATAATGTTAAAATAATGTTATTGACATTTTTTGGTCTCATAATTTTTCTAATTTGTTGATAATAAACAATTTAATAAATTAACAGTAGACTACCTTGCCTTATGTATGGTCCTTAAAAATAATAGTGAAAACAATTCTAAAAGGAGGGCTTCATGCCATATTCTCTTCTGTGAAATGTGCCTTGAAATTAGGAGCTCACAGCAAAATGACCATTCAGTGGGTCAGTTACTGAACTGAAATATTTTGATGAAGTATGGTTAAGAACATTTGAGTTTCAACAAAGGTATGCCTGTATAAAGTATCCTTTTTTCCTTTTAAATTTGTAACAGGATTGTCTTCTAACTTATGTTATATAATAAATGTCCACTCAAATCTAAATACATTGTTTTGCTCTAATACTAATATCAAATATGATTCTTATATTGAACAGACTATCAATAAAGATGATGCAGGTAAAGGTGTCAGAAAAAATAAAAAATCTGAAGCTTTGGCCAATGTGGAAAGAGTTAGGCGGTAATTTGCATCTTCATTTATAATTTTAAATTTAATTGGGAAAGAAGTATAATATTACCTGCTCATGTTGGTAAAAAATGGCCCTGGGCTACTGGCTGGACTCAGTTTGTCAGTAGATACAAATATAAAGGATACATGAGTAATTTACTTATTCACATTCTTTATGATTATGCTTATCCCCTTTCAATTATTTTACACACGCAAAAACAACACAGTAGCAAGTATTTTCAAAAATATATCTTTAAAAATTTCTGTAGCATCATAAATTATTCTTTTAATTGATAAATTTAAATCTAATGGGTTGATCCCTTGTAATTCTGCAGGTCAACAGATTCAGTGAACTAGTTTATATTTGCAAAATCAATATAAGATAGAGTGTGTTACAGATTTCATATAACATTTGAAAGTCAGATTAATTTAGTTCAATTAAAGTTGGTATAAATGTGTATGCTGAATTAATTTTTTTATAGATGTCATCTGAATGATCTGGAGAACGTGATTCCTTTTGTTATACTGGGACTTCTGTATGTGGCCACAGGACCTGACATTGAATCGGCTACAATCAGGTTTAGAATATTCACAATTAGTCGATTTTTCCACACAATTTTCTATTTGTTTGCCATTCCTCAGCCAACCAGATTCTTGGCTTTTCTAGCAGGATTTGCTATCAATATTTCTATGATTTACCGTATCCTTATCCCAGCAAATTTCTAATCTTAAGAAAAAAATTATTCCTAAACAAAATTTTAGAAATGGCTTTACATAATTAAACCCTTTCACATTCATTAAGCTAGGGCTAGTTGATTTATTTGTTCAAGCCTGTAATCTTGCAGCATGATCATGTTGATAGAACAAATAAAATGTATTAAATAAATTCTTTTTTTATTGTCAGCTGGCATGAAATTGTATATCATTATCAAATGGACAAGCTTACATTTATAGCATTTACATAATTTGTAGATATGTGCAATTAGGATTTCATAATTTTGCAACATTTTTTATTGCTCCAGCTTTAAATTATTTAAGTCCCAAGTTTATTATGGAGAAAATTTTTCAAGAGCGTGGGAAATTTGTTTGATTTGGACTCTAGCTGAAAAATTTGTGACTCCAAATCACTATCACCAGTCTTGATTTCCCCAACAAAAATGATGTGGTTTCACAAAAGTGTTAGAACAAAAAATAGAGCACTTCATCAAGTCATGTCACATACTTGATGGAATTATATTTTTGTTTAAATTTTAACTCATTGATAATCATTTGCGTTTTCTTAATTTGCATTGCGTTTTCTTAATTTGCATTTGCAGCTCTGAGCTTATATAAAATTGGGTGCTTAGTATAGTGTCTCATGAGAGTTTTAAACAGTGGCGGCTGGTGTATAGCATTGTGGAACTGCAGCGCCCCAATTTTTACTCACAACTTATTAAGAACAAACTGCGTGTTGAGTTTTATTTCTTTTTCTTTCTTTCTTTCTTTAATACTTGTACATAATATTTAATACTGTGATAAATAATTCATGTCACTGGTCATCATCATTCATCTAATGTATGAAAAAAAAACTACAAAAATGCTTGCATTGAACTGTGTACTTCATATTTCAAGTCACGAGTTGTTTTATTGTTCCACATATGTGTACATGTCAGAGGGAAAAAGCGGGTCCACGTTAGAGAGAAGCACTGTTGCTCACGCAGTTCCATTCTTACTGTCTGCATAGGAGGCAGTGTTTACATTATGAAACAGTGTGTTGACTCTGTGGTGTATCATACTTATGTGATGAACTGTAGATGATAACCTTAATATTTACATGTTCAGTTGAAAAAAAATTTTTTCAGGCTTTTCATCATTATATACAAGTTTTCTTTCTCTGTGTGAATGTATTTCGTTGTGCACAATATTAAAATAATGCCTGAAAATTTTCGGACGCACCCCCACTAATTTAAGTCATGAGCCGCCACTGTTTTTAAAACTTTAATGTAGCATGTGAATGAATCTAAGTGCGGGTGTATCTTGAGTAGTTAGCCAGATTTTGTGTTCAACTAGTGATAAAACAATTTTTCAAGCATGTCCTGTTAAATTTGACATTGATGAATTGTTGTGTATTTGCTACAGAAATTTCTGATTATGCTTTCTTTCCTTTGTGATTGTGATGCTTTAAATTTGTTTCTACAGAGTCTTCTAGCATCACTAGAAAAAGAAAAAAAGCATACATTATTTAACTACTTTCTTAACACTTTTCTCAATATCACTTGAGAAACTGATTTAAATTTGTACATTTATGTTAAACAATTCGAATTGTGACCACACTGTGCCAAGCTTTTTCACCACTTTTTTTGTTGTGTAAATAATTATTCATTGCAGCAAATTTGGTTTTATTAATTTGTCAATGCTTATGAAAATTAAAACATCCCCCCAAAAAATAATTCAATACATAGTTCAAAATTTGTTGGGTTGTGAGTTGAGTTGCAGTATCTTATCAATTAATACATTATTACAAGGATTATATAGGACCAAGAAATGGATGGCATATTTGAAACAATTAAAATTATTATTTAAATTACGGTAAAAATCTTAGTTATGCATTTACCAGCTCACAATAATTTGTGGGTTAAATTATGTTAGTAATTATCAAAGAGACAGTTGAGTTTATAAGACAGTAAGTTAAATAACATGGAAATTTTCTTTGCATTTTATTGATCTTTCAATACTGCACAATATATTGTAAAAATCATCTCTTGAATGAAAAATGTCCATACAAATACAGGCATACAAACGCATGGTGTGGCAACAAGAATACAAAATAACATGGGCCCCTTCCAGCCAGCGATGGACATGTAGAAAATAGGATTTAATTTGATGGTTATTGTATCTTTGCAGATGTGTCCTGTCAACATTTTCTCAACAGCTCCAACTAGCAGAACAAATTATCAAACTATGAGTGAATGGAATTTAATACTAAGAGTCAAGAAAGAAGCAATGACAAGGTTTTTTTTTCTCTTTCAAAAAATCACTTCTTAGCATTGCTACATGCATAGCATGAGTACAATCATATGAAGGATCCCACAAATGAGTTTCCATAAAGACCTCATGGTGAGTCTTGTTTGAAGGATAAATTTTTGGGCCACATTTTCTTTTTAGATCATAAAACTCTTTTAATTACATTTTAAGAAAACTATTTGTATCAGACTACAGAAGTAGTTAAAAAAAATATTTGGTGACACAGTCTAACTATTGTGAGAGAGGTCAGATGGCTTGAATCATTTATTCATGGTGAGAATGACAAATTGACAGTTAATAAATACAATCAATGGACAATAATGGAATAAAATAATAATCATCTTACTGGTGCTCGCTAAACTTGTGGCTTTGAGATGATGGGGAATTTTATATAAATACATAATTTTACATAGGGGAAAAACTGACGCTGCAAAACAACCAGTGAAAAAAGCGCAAAATTCTTAAAAGTAATGTCTCTAAGTCACAAACTTTGAAACTAATTTCACATCACAAAATAATTGAATGCAATCACTTCACATCATGAAATTAAATCCTACCATACACAACAGGTTAATTGTTTGTTTCTTGCAATATTAGAAATTAATTTTAGATGAGATCAGACGGAATTGAAACCTTTGAATAATGTAACTTTTTTTAAAGAATGCAATCAACACACACACACCTAAAAATTAATTTATAAAAATTGAGGTCTCGAGCCCATAACTTGATTAGACTGGAAATGTCTAAGAACAGTGCGGCAGTCTGAGAACAGTGCCGCAGTCTAAGAACAGTGCGGCAGTCATTGCTTTTTAAAAAATAAATTAAGCTAAAAGTTTAATTCTTGGGGAATGCAACGAGGAACCAGATGAGAAAAGTTTCTACAATATTTATCCAATCCTGTTAATTTAACCAAATAAGGATTGGAAAGAAACATAAGGAATTGAATTTTTAACAAAATATTATCTTAATCTTAAGAATTAAAATTTTTATATCTAAGAAATTGTGCATTCTTTTTTTTTATAATATGCAAGTGAACCATAAAGTTATAATTGCATTGATAATACAATAATAATATTTGGGGCATGGACCTAGATTTTTTTTCTGATCACTCCTTCAAACCAATTATGTGGAAATAAAATATCCTATGTTTTATGTTATAAATATATGTCAGTACAGATGTATTCAGTGAGCACTGTAGTACACAGATGTATCTTGCCTAAAAAGTATTTCCTTGCACTTGCAAATGTCATGTTCTGGAATGATCTTAATTTGGACATGGATTAGAATTAGAAGGAAAAGGTTTTTAAAGAAAATCATTGCTCAAATTCAGCATATGGAAAGCATCTCCATTTGACAAAAACAAGACTTGGATATTCACAGTGTTGGATTACATGACAGCTAAGACTTTAGGAAGCAAGCATTCAAGCAAAATAGAACATAATAAAAAGTTATTTGAGTATGGGAACAGGTCAGTTTGGGGGACATTAAGGGTCTCTAATTGCATAGGCCAAATTTAATAAATAAATTGCAATATTACTAAATGCCATGGCCCAAGACAGAATAAACTCTGAAATGTCAGCAGGGGTCTCCTGCAATCCCTGCCAGTAAAATAAAAAAAAAAATTAAAATAAGAGACATGAAGATGTACTGAGTTCAGACCACGCAGGGCAATAAGAGAATCTTTTAAAGAACTCCACAACAAGGAATCATTTTTTATTTGTGCCAGAAGAAAAAAAAATCTGTAAGTAAATAAAATGACTCATTCGCAGCTTACGTCATGTTAAATTAATTACATCACGGCCCTGCATATTTCATACAGTTTTTGTCAAATGCTACATAAATTCATCAATTACTGATGAGAAAAGCTATGCAGCCAATTTTTAAAATAATTTACTATTTATCTTTTTTAATGTGAGTTCTTCTAAATAGCGTAAAAATATGATGTAGACATCTGAAACTGTTACTTTTGGTGGTGTTGAGCTGTGACTATTTTAAATATCTCTTGCTCAGAATGTAACTGATTATTTTAAGTTAAAAAAAAAAAAAAAGCTCAATAACAACATGAAAACATTTAATAATCTTTGTAAAGAAAACTTACAAACCAATAGATGTTAATCCATTCATCCTGTGATATTTTAAATAACTCTTGCTCAGAATGTAACTGATTATTTTAAGTTAAAAAAAAAAAAAAAAAGCTCAATAACAACATGAAAACATTTAATAATCTTTGTAAAGAAAACTTACAAACCAATAGATGTTAATCCATTCATCCTGTGTCACTGTCTTTTACAGACTCACCAATCAATGACTGGTCACACCTTGGATGGGATTTTTTTCTGAAATCTCTCACTTTAAACGTTTCACTTCATAGTGAGCCATAAATGTGTTTGGGTTAATAATAACTTGACAAGTTTTTCACACTATAGCATTTGGCTCAGTTTATTTTGATGAGGTTATTTTCGGCCTGTAACAAGGCATCATCAGATTTTATTTATGTTCCCCTTCGGCAGGCATTTCAAATAAATAATAGATGCCATTCGATTTTAAATACATAGTGTTAGTCTCTTTGAAAAATACAGTATTTGCCGGCACAAACAAATTTCAGCTCAATTTTTAATTACCGGCAAAGAAAAGACACACCCCATATTTTAGGCGTATTTTGAGGGGATAAAAAAAAGTGTCCTATGCGCCGGCAAATACTGATTAATTGGTGCATGTTGGGTCAAGAACAGTATGGTCATAATAAATGTCTGGTCATATTAACAAGAGGTCCACAATACTGCACAATTTCTTGTTTGATTGTGTAATACTAATGATACAATGTGACAACAGTAAATATAACACAACATTGACTGTAAGAAGAAAAATCTAAAAAATGCCCTAAAACTAAGTCTTTGCTTATTATTTGGTAAAGAGACTTACCCCCCTTAGTTGTTGACAACACTTAGATACCAGTTGATAAACAGTGGGCCATGGACCCCTGGGGGGAAGGGGGGGGGGGTCATTGCAGCATCTGCTTGAGGTTTATCTTTGACAGAGCCAATGCAAAACTCTCACTTTACCCATTGACAAGGGGTATGTGACCATTCACAATGAGGCCAATGAACACACTGATTAAGACCCCTCTCTATTACTCAATTGTCTTTGTAGTCCTAAAATGAAAATGCTTTAAGAAAAAGATGCTAAAATTTAGAGATGCCCCCAGCTGAAGTCCACTTAATCAATTTATTACCTAATGCACAACTGAACAATTTCTTGTGAAGGAATATTTCGATGTTACTTCAAATATTTATAAACATAAGTACATAAAAGACGATGATCTAACATAAGGGTGACAGAAACATTAACCCCCTGCTGACAGTAATGATGCTTTGATCCAGCTTTGAAGTCTAATTGTCTCTTCATCTCCGAGCGCCAGGGACCCAGGGTTTATGAAAGAAGCTGACCGGTAGAGGCGTGCAATGAGTGGAATCATAGTTCTCCAAGTGCACAGTTATCTGTGGCAAAGAAAACAGAGTTATCATAAAAAAAACTGAAAAAAGTTCATAGCATAGCGACTTTATTTACATCTGTCTAATGTTATCTAGTTTGTACAAGTGGTCAGAAGGAACATTTCTGTAGAACTGTCTAATCTTATCTAGCATGTAAAAGTAATGTCACATAATTGTAGAACTGTCTAATCTTATCTAGCATGTAAAAGAGAGACAAATTTAATCGAATAGCACTTTAAAATAAGAAACAATTAGAGCAAGATGAAATAAGAAACAATTATAGCAAGATAAAATAATAAACAATTAGCGCAAAATGAAATAATAAACAGAGCAAGATTAAATAAGAAACAATCAGAGCAAGAAAAAAAAAACAATTAGAACAAGACAAAATAAGAAACAATCAGAACAAGATAAAATAATCAACAATTAGAGTAGAGCAAGATAAAATAAGAAACAATCAGAGCAGAGCAAGATAAAATAAGAAACAATCAGAGAATCAGAGCAAGATAAAAATAAGAAACAATTAGAGCAAGATAAAATTAAGAAAAAATTAGAGCAAGAAAATTAAGAAACAATTAGAGCTAGACAAAATAAGAAACAATTAGAGCAAGAAAATTAAGAAACAATTAGAGCAAGACAAAATAAGAAACAATTAGAGCAAGATAAAATAAGAAACAATTAGAGCAAGATAAAAGAAAAAACATAACATGATAAAGACACTTACCAAAAATAAAGCTAGTTTGACTTTTAAGTTATGGTCTTGAGGAACATCTGATGATGAAAGAAACAAAATTAAAACCATCTCTGACTCTGAAGTTATTCTTACTATAAAAGATGACTATGGTATCTAAATGACTGCACCGCTCTACTCACTTATATGCATAGGGAAGTGGACAGATCCCACTTCACGGACATAATCAGCAAAGAAACTGCTGCATTCCTGATAGATCACAGACTTATCATCCAACATCTGAACTGAAATAGGACAAAAGTGGACAGAAATCAATGAGGGCATGGGATTGATTTTATTTTATGCATAAAAACAAGAAATACAATTCCAATTCTGTAACTCCATGAGCATTGTGCTTCCCCCCAAAACTCAAGTCTGGTCTTATTCTGCATGTGGAAAAAAAATTATATTTTACCATGTAAGGGGGCATCATGAAACCAATAGGAAATGTAATTTTTCCATCCTCTATTTTTAATGAGACTTATTTCAGTTGGCCCAGTTGTTCCAAGTAGTGGACGTTAACTGTTCTTGTCCCAGCATAGTTCTAATGTTAGACTTCTAAACACTCTAATTCTTACTCTGACTGGGTGTTCTAATGTTACTCTTCTAGACACTCTAAATCTTACTCTGACTGGGTGTTCTAATGTTAGACTTCTAGAAACTCTAAATCTTACTTTGACTGGGTGTTTCCTTGCACAGGAATTCTTTCATCAATGGTATAGTAGTTTCATCAACTAGCATATTTCTAATATTACACTTCTAGAAACTCTAAAACTTACTTTGACTGGGTGTTTCCTTGGACAGGAATTCTTTCATCACTGGTATAGTAGTTTCATCAACAAGCATATTTCTAATGTTACACTTCTAGAAACTCTAAATCTTACTTTGACTGGGTGTTTCCTTGGACAGGAATTCTTTCATCACTGGTATAGTAGTTTCATCAACAATTGTAGGATATCTGCAATATACAAAAAAAAATTAAAAATTAACTGAAATAAGTAAAAAAATTACTTAGATTTTGCATAAATAATTTTTAAAGGGTTATCCCATTTTAAGAAAATAATGAATCACATTTTAGAAAGTAAGAATTTAATTTCTAGACAAATATGCACTCCCCCCCCCCTCTTATTATAATCATAATCTTCTCAATGTCCAGATTACTGAATTAAAAACTCAATCAACATTTCCCTTTTTTTCATTTAACCCCTATATTAATATTCCTGTTCAAAGCATAACTTATGTGAAAATCAAGTGGCTGCACAAGCAATAGTATCAGTATTTGGCCCATTCCTTTAACCTCAGATTACTTCAAGATCACTAAACTTCAGATTGCTTCAGAGCATTATCTGAAAGAGCTGCCTCTGCTAGACACAAAAAAGTTGCTCATGTAATGAGACAAAACACTATAAGAGTGATCTATGCAAAAGTAAAGATTGCTGAATAAGATACAAATGATATTTGTTTTCAGAAATTATAAAGAATTTTACAGGATGGGAGGTGAAAAACAGGGCTTCTTAGAATAAAAGGAAATGAGCGAGACTGAGTGGGGCAAAGAGACTGAGTGGGGCAAAAACTGAAAAAAAAGGACCCAAAAAACAAGAATCTTCTTCAGCAAACAAACAGCAGAAACAATATAGAATTAAAATAAACACTTAGCTGCAATGTAGTGTCAGAGAGGACAGCAAGAGGAATGTAATCATTTCCTTTTACGTAACCTGATTGCAGTCTCTCCCCCTTTTTACCATTAAAATGAATGGAAATTCTTTGTCTTAGTCTCCTTAACCTTTTGAATAAAGGACTATCTACTTAGTTGTAAGAATATTAACAAATTGAGACCAACATGTAACAACTTTGATAATGTGAGCCATTTAACCATTAAGGCAATTAAGACAAAAACTGAACACTTTGTTGGTAATCAAAGACGACTATATACAACTGTTTCGGGAAATATTGAAATGTTACCTGTACTGCAACAGCTTGAGTAGCAGAGAGTTGCCTCTGTTGGAGATTAACAGAGGGTAGCCATTGGGGAGGGATCTGTCAATGAAATCGGACAAGCAAAAAAACATGTCATCCAAATTAATTTAAGAATTGTCTGACATTGAGGGTTGAAAGTTTGGTCTTATTATATGCATTTAACAGTGATAATTAAATAAAAAATTCTAAAAAGACTCCATTTCAAAATAGGTGATTAATATGTATTAAATAATTAGATGTGTCACATTGTGGTTATCTCATATAATATTGGGTGATTGGGAGGGCATTAGGAAAGTTAATCTACATTTTTTCAAAGTAAATTACACATATAAATATAATATTTTTTTATTTTATATTTATTTCTTACACACACAAAGGAAACTTTTGAATCTTAAAAAAATTTAAGCGAAAATTATTAAACATCTAGAGATTTTGAGATGTTCTAGTGTTGCAAATTTTACTACCCATGACAAACAAAAATTGTTTTCCGAATTATATAAATGAGATCTTCATATGTACTCACTCTGTGGTAATTATTTCATCTCGAGTTCTCCTCACAAGAAGTATAGGGCCTTGATATCTTAAAGACATAATTAGACAAAAATTCTCAAATCAAATGGTTGCATATGAACAACAAATTAACTTTAATAATGCAGCTTAAAAAGTTTTCGTTCTTATTGAGATTCATTCTAAGCCAGTTTCTTTTTTATTTTAATAATGAATGAACACTTGATTGCACATGAATTAAAACAATATCTTTTCCAGAGAGCCAAAACATAAGGACTTACTCAATCAAATTGTCAGCCACATTCAGGTCCATGTATGACCTCAAACTAAGGGCCACCAGATTCTCTATACAAATGGGCAAAACAAATAAAATAAAAAAATAACTTAAAGAGAGTAAAATCTATGTTGCAGGCAGTTCGTAATAATCATTACATTTAATAAAGAAACACCAAATCAAAGACTACAGTTGCGGTATAGCACCATTTTTCTAATAAGCTATCTCAATCTTCCTTTTTCGAAATATGCCAAATATTTTGATTATTCTTTAAGAGCTTGTAATGCATTTCAAATGAGTGTTTATTTGATATTTTTAAAAATAAAATGTTTTTTTCCCCCACATTTAATAGGTTAAAGATCTTTAATTTTTTACTGGTGAAGTATAATTATTTAAACCCTTACTCTTAAAATTACTTACTCCAAGACTGAGGCATTTTGGCAATGGCCAGAGGCACAATATCATCAAATGTAGCATCCAGCACCTGTAGGCATAGAGGGGAGATAAATTTTGGATTATTAGCAAAACAAAGTCATTCTGAATCATGTTGGATTATTTATTTTGTGCCAGCCAGAAGCTTGACAGGGGCTATGAACTTGACTGGGGCATATGACAACATATGATCTTGACAGGGGCATAAGACCTTGATGGGCGGGGGGGGGGGGGGGGGGGGGGGGGGGGGGTGCAGATGACACCCAGAACATAAAAACATGACAATGGTGAAAAGATATTTATCAAATCCATTTTTTTTTTTCATTGTAAAAGAAACCATATTCTCCAATTTCCTTAACTTAATTCTCACTTCTGGGTCCTCACAAAAGACATTCAAGAATAAATTCCCATCCATTAAATAGAAGATAAATCCCATATTGTTTTGGTTGACATACAAACAATGGGTGTGAAGTCCAAATACCTGGATCTTTTTTTTGGGGGGGAGGGGATTATTTAATTTTCAATCATTCCTTAGAGCACCATTATCACAACTGCATGTCAAAACATGAATAAATGGATATTTTTCAACAATCACCACAGAATTTGTTGCATTTCCACATACTAACCACAAACTTGATATCAGGGTAGGTTTTGGCCACCCATGATGCAGTGTATCCACCTATGGACCACGCGAACAGGGCAATGTCCTTGGGTTCGAAGTGCAAGCGATGGATGGCATACTGCATGACAGCATCTACTGCCTTCTGTTCTTGCTGAGGGAAAGCAACACCCTGGGAGAAATTCATCAGGAATATTTAGTCATATGGACTGAATGCAGACAGATGGAATCATGAACACTCAAGTATTTTTTAAAATGTATATATCCCAATTACTTGGATGCCTCTTTGACTTAACTGCTTCTGATCACCACCACAATATGTGTATATATAAATATTTACATAATATTTTCCAATTATATTATATATAATAACCTTAAGTAATACTTAAAAATTTGAGAGATTGGCAAAGTTTGTTTTCATCTATCATCAAGTGGTTTGATTTTTCAAAGGTTTCAACTTGCAAAAAATTAGTTTGTGAATAGAGGACCTGTGGACAGTCACTTTGTAGATATACTAAAAACTATTTTTGTTCTTAAAACTGGTGAATGTCCAATGAGATACTTGTAAGTTTCTTCCTTTAAATTAACAGCACTGAAACCTGACCGCGCCTGCCAGTTTGGTGGACTATATTGGTGATATTTCTGAGCCTCTCTACTAAAAATACAGGCAATAATTAACTGTAGAAAAATTAAACAGTTAGCATTTCAGTTATGTCTTTAAGTAAAATATTACAGTGCTTCCACCAAAGCCGGGGTGGTTCCAGCCCAGGATGGAATAGTTGAGGTCCAGTGGTGTGTTTGAGCAGCCCATCTCATAGAAACCTGCATTGCCCTCTGAAGTTATCACCTTTTTTGTGTGTGGAAGTAATAAAATAGAAGGCATTAAGATTAACATGAAAAAAACAATTATTAAATGTGAAGACATACATAAAAACTCTCATTGTTTACCATTATGATCATTTAGGTTTAAGCTTTATCAGTTGGTGATTTGGTCTATGATTTTTACAGCTTAGAAAATTTTACACACCTGAGTATTCCTCACTTAGAGATTACACACACAGAAAACTCTGCACACAGAATATTTCCCACACCAAAAATTCCCCATATAGATGATTCCGAACACTAATATTCGCCCAATTTTTTTTTTTTTTTTGTATAATGGTAATATGAGAAAGAGACTGCAATTATGTTAGGTAAAAGGAATTGAGTGAAACAAAGTTTGGAGAAACCTGAATAAAAGGACACAACAAAACACCAAAAATGTCGGCAGGAATAATAATAAACATTTTAGCTGCAATATAGTATCCGAGAGGACAACAAGAGAAATGTGTCTATGATTCCTATGTATTCCTCTTGCTGTCCTCTCAGATACTACAGGCTTCTTGCCTACACATCATTGTTTTGTTGCTTCATTTTCTCAGGTTTCCCATATTTTGTTTCTCTTTTTTAAATTTTTTTTTGTTGTTTGCTGCAAGTGCATTATGGGTCCAAAACTCAAAGAAAAGTATACTGGTGGGCCAGACTTCAATTAAATATACATTTTTTAATTTAAAAAATAATAATAATATTTTTTACATTAATATTTTTGAGTATTACTTTAATTAAGTTTTTTATTTTCTAATGGGAAATAATCCATTTACCTCCCATTTAGCTGGGCAATAATCAAGTCAAGAGGAGATGTATAAAGCATATTGTATGTCAAGCTGAAGAAGACTTTTAGCCAAAATGTCATTTATATTGTTAGGTCTGATTTTCAAACCCCCATATTAATCTTGAACAGGTGAAACAAGATACTATTTTTTTATGTAAAGAAGGCCATAATATGAAGATACCAAAGATATGCCTAAGGACAATTTAAACTGTAATAAATCAATGAATAGCTAGGCATGGGTATACACTAACAAAGAGTGCATAACAAGACATGAGCAAACAGTAACCCAAGTGTTATACTAATTATAAATGGCACACAAAAAATTAAGTTCGAGTTCCTTCTTTTTAAATATTTTTTTACCCCTGCTTATTTTCAATTTTAAGCATTCATGCAACATATAATTTTAAAATACAGAATTAAGAAAATTTAAGCACCATTCATAAACAATATCTCAAAATCATTCATCAGCGTTTTTCAAGGCAGAAATTCAAGTCCTTTATTATCATGTATCTATTTTCTGATCCAAAAATGTGTGAAGCTAGTAAGGATCTTACTAAGGTGGAGCCATTTTCAGTTTGTCCCTTTTTGTTTATGAACATCGTGTCGATCTCATTTCCATCTTCTGTCAAAATTTTGGCTCTTTTCCCATTTTTCTGTGGATAAAATGTTTATCAAAAAGAAATGTAGGCTGGCTATTTCAAGTTGCTTAAAGGATCAGTTACTTTCATGATTTCTCCTCTATTAAAAAATCTTTTCTTTCAAAAAATTATGCTTGTAGGGCTTACATTATTTATTTACTGCTCATATAGGTCACCTGGCTAATGTTTAATAATTTATAGTTATCAACTATAACTTTTACATTATAGTTAAAATGTATTGTCAGAACTAGGCTTCACACACAAACACGAGATAAAAAGAATGGAAAAAGGTTTTAAATTGTGAAGATTACTGACATAAGTAATAAATAAGGTATAATCTAAAAATAACCAACCTCTTCAACTAACTGTGCTCTCCCTGACCTAAGCATATTTGCTGAAAGAAAACATTGTATAAAAATTATAGTATAAAAACAATTTTTTTTTTTAAAATAGGCCTTATGTGCTTACAGTTTTCTGTGGTTCCATAAAAATTAAATTGAAATATTTTTATTTACTAAGATTTGCTGATTGTAACTCTGGTGACTATTATTGTAAACGCCATTAAATTTAGAAGATATTTTGGAGAAGTTTTATAAATTAAATTGAATGATAAAAATTTGTGATGGTCCACAAATAAGATTAGAGAATACCCATAAATAAGAATGCTTTGAATATTGCGAAAAATATTTCAAGTATATTTAGGAGAGAAGTGATTCAAATTTAAATAATTGTTTAAATTAAAACCCCTCTAAGATACTGGATGAAGATGAGGGGATTGTTCAGCCAGCAATTTTAAAAGTTGTTAGTTAAGTCATTTTGATGGTTGTTAATTTAGTATAATTGTTCATTATGTAATTTTTAATAGAGGTTAATTTAGTAAATTTTAAAATGTATGAGCAACTAAGAGACAGAAAAAATTTGCTTACACATAGCTACTTACAGAGCAGATAATTCATTATTGATGTACCACCAGGGTAAACCATTCTTCTACCAAAAGTATGCATAGCAATAAAGCTGGAAAAAAATATGAATCACAATTTTTATACTTGAGCATGGAAAAACACGTACTTATATATTTTAATGCTAATTTATGACAAAAACTTGGCTGTGGAAAAAGGTAAACGTACTTATGACTGAAAGAAATGGACAATGGCTCTGCAATGAGAGAATCACTGACCTAAGTAATCGACAGGGTAGACTGCTTCTTTCAACAGCATGACTCCTACGACTGCTGTTGATCGATTTGTCTGGTTTTCTAGAACTTCTGAAATATACGCAATGCATCAAAAGTTAAGAAAATGCTGCCCCACCTGCAGGACTGCTATAGGAATTATAACTGTGACCAACAAATGACCAGTCAAAAATGATGCAGAAATAAATTTTTCTAAAGAAGTACAACATTGATTTTAATTTTACATGTAATCCCCTTTTTCACACGTTAATTTTAAGTCATGACATGCATTAAATTATCTTTTTAAAAGTAAAACTCTGTAAAAATCGTGACCACTACTAAATTCAGAATTATTTCCCAGGTACAGCCTAAAATTGCTAATTATTTAGTTAAGATTATGTGGAAGTCATCATCACTAATACTCTTAAACTCTGCTGTGACTGTATCCATCAGCTCATCACCACTAATACTCTTAAACTCTGCTGTGACTGTATCCATCAGCTCATTTAAACTTGTAAACAAAAATGTTGTTTCTTCCAAAGACGTAACTTGGTTAGAAAATGAAATGTTACGCGTAAATCATGCCACTCCATTTTTCTTTAGGTTGTACCGATATATCAATATTAAATGATTGTGGAAAGTCCAGCAACAATTTAAAACATTACTTGTCAACAAAATCATTCCATCGGAAGTCCACTGGCCAAGCCCAATATTCAAAGTCATAACCAGCCAACATTCGCTGAAAGCACAATAAAAAACAAAACAAATTACCTGTAGTACTAGAACGATCTTTGTAGATTTTAATAACAAGATATAGAAATATAGTCAGAGGGACTATGTCATAAATTCAGATGTGAAATTGTTACAAATATAATTTAATTAGTCCATCAAGAATGTGAAAACTAAAATTTAACAGGATTTAACTTGCAATAACTTAATTATTAGTGACGGTTTTAGAGGTTGATAAATTGCAGAAAAGTCATCACAATCTCTATAAATGAATTTAAATCATTTAATTTTTTCATGGATTTAATTCTTTTTTTAATGGAGTCATCATGTTACTGCTTACTTTATTATTTTTCATTGTCATTTTTTAATGTTCAAATAGTTACCTTTTGTTGAGGTGAGGCATTTGGGCGTCTTGCTTCAACTAAAACATTGATAAAAGTCCTATATTCGCCATTGCTCAATCGTCCAATACCTGAACAAAAGATTTTTCAACTACATTTAAGAATGATGGTTTTTCAAGATTACCTAAATAAGTCTATCTGTTAAGCATTACACAAAGATTACAACACTTTATAAATGATTGATTCCTAGCACTAGAAGCCACAAAATGAGGATTATCCTGATGCAATGGCTGCTCCAGCACACACACAAAAAAGATATAGGATGCCTTGATTGATTGATTTATTTTTTACACTGTTAATTTTATATCCTTTTCCTAAGTTTCTTTATTTCTTTATTATTCAAAAAGGACTCAATGCTGAATTTCATTGTAAGCTTTCCTCAAATAAATCAAGAAAACTTTATTTCACATTGGAGAAATCATGTACTTTCAGAGAAACTTACCAATCAACCAGTTATAATGGTAAGCTTACCTCTGAGAAAGTATGCGGCAGTGTAAACAATGGCAACAGACAATGCAACTTTGAGTATACCAAGACTTCCTTCAGGGGTAAAATGCCCTAAATTTCCAAAAGTTCAAGTGTTAAAAAAAAGTAATAAACAACATCTACAAGATTATCTTAAGCCATAAGCTGAAATTTAGTGGGCACCCAAGTAAAATTTTTGCAGGATCAAAATGAATTTGGATTAAAATAGCTTTTAACAAAACAACTAGAAATCTTGTTACTGTTAATTAGCAATCAATTATGTGTGATGCCAAAACCATCATTTCTATTTTTTTCTCAAAGCAATTAACTTTGTCACCAGTTTAATCAATCATTAAGTCAAAGAACTGTTTAATTTAAGACAAATGTGCATAATCTTATGTTAGGTGATGTATTAAATATTAAACATATCTAATAATGAACTGTTAATCTTATAACTCAATTGGAACATGTACCTCTTCTGTAAAGAATAAATCCAACTATAGGTGTGGTCAAGTAAGTAAGTCCAAAAGCTGTGTTAAACTGTTAGAAATGTTTACAAGACAACATGTATGTTTACAAAAAAAATAAACTAGGCATTTTAAAAAAAAATTATTATATATACAAAAAGTTAAGTTTGCATTTAAAATTATTATTTTTCATTGAAATTTATGATTAAATATGTGTAGATTTCACTCTCTTTTCTGAATGTACAATGTCATTAACAAGTTTCCTAATCAGATATACCATTACAAAATACTTATCTAGTAATTTCTACTAGAAGCTTTTTTTTAGGACAAACAAATTGAAAAAACACCCAGTAACTAAATAAGTTCAAGTATTGTATTAATTTAAAAATATAACTTACATTAACATTTAAAGACCTTCTTAATAAATTTATTGCTATCCTATTTATTTGGTGCAAAAAAAAAAGAAGAAGAAGAAACACATACCTTATTACAAGAAAAAAATACTTAAAAGTCAGTTAGTAAAATCCCTTCTAGGCAATAACTTTTCAAATTTTATTTTACTGTTCAATTATAATTGTATTTTATTAATTTATTTGTAACATCAAAGCTTTGAAAATAATTACTAAACCAAATTTTTTTCTTCAATAATGGCTGATATAAGTCAAAGGAAAATGGCTGCAAAAACATTTTTGAAATTACTTCTTTTTATCTCATAAATCCATGAATAATGGGTCGTTGTAGGAGACAATTTTTGTTTTGGTCATGAAGTTTAAGGAGAATTGAGAAGCTGGTTAATTTTACATCTTCCCAAATGTTAAAAAGGAATATGGTGGCATTATAGTTATTCTAACCCCGCCAACCAAATGAACTAGCTGCAGTGCTTAATTTTAATAAGTTCATTTAAACTATTTCTTTTTTTAAAATTTGCTCACCGTATGAAGTATGCGATCTGGTAATGACTCTAAGTATCCAGGAATATAATCACGGCCCTGCAAATGAACAAAATTGTGAGGAATGCATGAATTCAATACAGTTGAATGCTATGTGTGAAAATAAATTTAAAAGGCCATAGTGGTTAGTAAATGTATTTTCGTGAGTAATGGTAGTGCGAGTGGTGAGAAGTTACTATTGCCAACAGTGGGTCTTGGGAAGAGGATGGAAGGAGGGGGATAGGGGAGGTGGGGGGATAAGAGGAAGAGGGGATAGGGGAGGGGAAGAAAACCTCATGACCAAATTGAATTGCAGTTATCCAAATTTCCCATAAAACAATTTTTCAAGAGCAACTACAAGCAAGGGGTTGTCTAGCATTGTGACAAAATCTATCTAAATTATTAGTAGTAGGCTCCACTGAGAGGAAGCAACAGAATAAAGATTTAAGTGGCAAACCTATTTTTAGTTTGGTATGCAACAACTGACTCAAAGGGCATGCTTTGGGATGGGGTTCCAATGGGCACTCCTCCCTTCCCCCTGAACAACTTTTTTTTTGGGGGGGGGGGGGGGGGGGGGGGGCTTTTACACTTAATCACCTTAATGAAATTGGCTTCGCCTTCAACTTCATCATAGAAGGAAATATTGAATACCTGATTTGTAAATAGATTGATATATTATAGCATACATGCCAACCTGTATGGTTTACCTGTCTTTTTACAGTTTTTATATTTTTGCTGAGGTGTACGGCACACAGGCTTTTGTACAGTTTTCCACTGGATATAGAAAAGAAATATATTTGCACATGACACACGTTCAAAGCTGATGGTGCAATAAGTTCCACTTTGGACAGCAATAAGCTTAAATCATATTTTCCCATTAAAAATGATCAAGTAGGATTAGTAGGCCTTCTCAATTTTGAAACAATGAGGTTTTATTGGTATCATTAATTAACACAAAAACAGTGTCATATGGAAGTAACAAATTTGAGCAGTATACCATAATTACCAATCTGTTTTAGTAATTCTAAAAAAAAACTGATGTTAGTTAATGTGCTTTTAATTTATATAAAATAAAAATAATATTACTATCAATCAATGAATAGCATTAGTCATTATTCCTATTTTTTACAGCAACATGGCTTAATTCCTCAGGTACGGTGAAAAATAAGTTTATATGCTGAATGTAAACTCAACAACTTTTTCAAGACGGATAAACGTTATTTTACTTCGTTAACTTAAATACAGAAAACTGTATGACAACACCTAGTATAATTAACAGAAGAATTATATCTAATTACATCTAATATTGGTATCAAGTTCATCATCTGTCCATATTTAAATTTAATAAAATTGATTTCCAGTGTGGAAAACTCAAAATTAGTTAAAAATTTGACTTATAAAAAGCTATTTTCATTTACAAGATGCTGTGTATCCAATTATGAATGATATAAACATGATTTTTTGTGCAAGCAGCGAAGGGGATACTATCCATTTTTTATTCATGCAATCAAACCATTGATATAAAGCAGGCCTGCCCAACTCAAAATGTAAGGTGGGCCAAAATACTTTATGAAATAAGACGGGACTTGTGCGGACCAAAATAAAATATGTCATGGAGAAAGCTATTAAGAAAATAATAAGAATAATTATTATTTCGTTACTTCGCGGGCCACAAAGTGGTTGCTGGCGGGCCGCATGTGGCCCGCGGGCCGTATGCTGTGCAGGCCTGATATTAGGATGAAAAAGTTATAAAATATACTTTCGACTTTTCATGTTCTTCCCCCTGTACAGTGACAGTTTTTCATGCTGATGTACAGTTTTTTGGGAGTTTTTGTACAGTTTTTTTATCCCACAAGTTGGCATGTATGTTTAAGGGTCCATTAGGATCTTTCTATACTATATAAAATAGAAACAAAACTATTTTCTGGGGAGTTTTTACCCCTCCCAGAACTTTTCAAAATCTTGTACAGAACTATGGTAGGTAGTTGACCTGGGTCACCCCCATGACTTATATAATATATAGTGGAAGGCATCACCTGTCTTACAGCTAACCCAATCCTAGAATTTGAATGAGGCTTGATTATTTAAATTAAGTCAATAAATGACATACATTTATCAAAGTGTCTATTCGCACCCAGGTGTCAGAAGTGAGAGGTTGGGATTAAAAAATTATTTAAATATTATTGTTGGGTTTTAAAGACAAAATGAGGTATCAAATGAAAGATAATTGAATGGATTATTATATGTTTGCAAACTTAATTCTTCAGTTTAACTAAAATAAACTACCACAAATGAAATTGAAATGGGATTTAGTCTTAGTCTAAAGGGACCTGGGTCCAAATAGCGCTATGCATGTCCGGGTCCCTTTAGGCTAAATCCCATTATTACTTGATATTAATACTGTCAGTAAGTTAAATTAAAATAAAACTTATAAAATAAAATTGCAATTTTTCATAATTAAACTTAAGTCAAAGAGTTGTCTGTTGAGGAGTGGTGGGCCTGGGTTGTTTACTTTATCGGTCGGTAGTAAGTGTATGCTGCATGCTGGTAGGCTTAAGTCCTGAATAAATGATATGCCTAATGTCAAATAATTTGAATCATGCTTGAATTTGAATGTCTTTAAATCAGAAATGAGAGTATAATATAAAAATAATGAATAATGACTTAAGAGTAGCTCAGAAAGTAAAAAGAGTTGGGTCTGGGTCGCCGGGTCGGGTATTGAATAGGACCTACTAGTAAATAAAGTAGGCGAGGGAAGCTTTTCTAAATCGAGGGGTGTTTGTCATTCACGACAGTCCATTGTTAATTAAACCACAAGTTATAATACAATGAAAAACCTGCACGTTTTCTCTTTTGAAAATCCTTAGTAACCGAGGACCAATAAATGTCCAATATAAATTGGACGCCATCTTTAACCAGGTGATATAAAAAAGATGGATGAAAGTTATTAAAAGCGATGACAGATTTCCACGAAATGAGATAAAGTAGTGAGGCATTAATTAATTAAATCCTAAACAGTTTTAAACTGTGTCGTTTCCCTAACTTCAGCAACTATTAAGACCTAGTACTAAATTTTATTTCACGTAATATATTTTTACAACTATGTATGCTTTTTCAGGAAATATTGCTATATTTGTTTCAAGTACTAGACTATATAACAACGTATATTATGTTATAAAAGGCTGCATCTATAGGTACCTGGGTACTTATAGTTGCCAATAACTATTCGAACCCGGAGTGGCTCTGTACAGATTAAATGGCTTCGGAGCCGAGTGTGATAACAATTAATAGTATGAGAATTTTTTTTTAAAAATTGTTTTTTCTCCTTGTTATTTCATACATTCGTAGTTTTATTCTTTTTAGTTGTTTTTTTTTTTGCTTTGTTAATTTTTCTTAGGATGGGTAGATTTTTTTTCCTTTCTTATTTTCTTTTTTAGTTTAAGCTATTTTCGTAGATCATTTTTCTTTTTTTTTTTTAGATATTTTTTTAAAAACCATCCATTATTAAGAGCCGAGTGTGATAACAATTAATAGTATGAGAATTTTTTTTTAAAAATTGTTTTTTCTCCTTGTTATTTCATACATTCGTAGTTTTATTCTTTTTAGTTGTTTTTTTTTTGCTTTGTTAATTTTTCTTAGGATGGGTAGATTTTTTTTCCTTTCTTATTTTCTTTTTTAGTTTAAGCTATTTTCGTAGATCATTTTTCTTTTTTTTTTTTAGATATTTGTTTAAAAACCATCCATTATTAAGTAGAGAATGTCAATATAAATAAGCATGCAAAGTTTCAATTATGTAGTTCCAAAACTATTCCTCCTGATTCATCAATCGACGTCAGAAAAAAAAATGAAAATGCTATATCGATAAAAGCTGAAAAAGACACTGACAAATGCTTATTAAAAAAATTAAAGGTTACTTGAACAACATTGGATGCATACATCATGAACACGTTCCACTCGTTAATTTTTAAAAAAATGTAAGTACATAGATATAATTGATAGAATATAAATGAATGCATTTTCCCAACAACCCACTAGCCTCGAGCCTAATAAAAATAATAAGATCATAAAAACTTCGGAATTTTGTTTATGAGACATGTAATTTAAAAAAAACATCAATCATTATGTAGAGAATATAATAGAAAAAAAACCTTGCAAATTTTGAAGCATGTGGCAACAATACTTTTCCTAATACATTTGACGTCAGAGATAAATGGAAAATCCTAAGTGGACCACTTTAAAAAGAGAAAAAAATTCAATTAAGCAATATTAGATATATAGGAGTCAAATAAAATGAAATTTAAAGCATATCAATGTGAAATTATCATAAAAGATAAGAATTTTCTAGATATTTTTACAAATGTTAAACAATATTGTAGAACATGTTAATGTTTTTTAATAAGAAATCAATAGACTCAGTTTAGGAAACAAAAATCTGCCCAAGAAATATAATAAAAATGGTTATTTACACAATTTTGTAAAATAATTTTCAGCACATTAAAAACATTTACATATTTATAAAAGTAGCTGAAATCTTTCGGAACCAATCATTGCGAATTAGCAGTGAAAATAAATTTACAAGAACAAGTCAAGAATGACGATTATCTCAGCAAGGCCTTTTCAAACCCAGTTGTTGGGTTCAGCTGTCTATGTTCTATATACCGGTGTTCACTTGTCCGTTGGTTCACTAGTCCTGTGTTTGGATGTGTTATGGTCAGTTGGGGGTTTACTTGTCCTGCGTTCATTTGCGCGGCCACCGCAACGGACACAAACCCTAAAGTTTATGCAGCATTAACGATCAGAAATCTGCTTAAAGTAAACCTATACACGGGTAAGCCGCGGCGACTGCGTTGCTGCCCTCAGCCTTAACATACTAAACAGAAACATGGCAAAGCCGTGGAGGCCACGTCGCTCTAGATATGCCGACGTATTACTTTAGTGTACCGTATCATAGAATGACTTTGGTAATCAGCAGACCAGACCAGGGAAACGGCGCATGGGCAAAAAAAGGTGCGAAGCGAGAGACTCGGGTACGACGCGTAATAGAATTCCACCAACAACAGAGAGCGATCAATTTCCAAGCGTTGGGTGATGTGTAACGTGTCCTCATAATGAGCAGATCTGGGAAACGTTACGAGCGGACCAGGGGTTATGTTGCGATATGTTCACTAGAAAGTTGTGCCACCCTCTATCACTAAGTTTTTAAAAAAAAACAACTCTTCAGCTCGCCGAAAATGCCGCCCCTCATAAATTAAAAAAAAAAGTGGCACCTGTGTGGACCACCCCCTCCACAGCCCCCTTCCTATGCAAGTGGGTTGAATTTTTATCGACAATTGTGAGTCATAGTAGGCAAATACCGTTCCCGGTTTCCGGTTGACAAGTCTGCAGTGGCTTGCCGATTAGGAAGCGTCGGCCACCGACCCCCTCGGCGTGTGCCGGGAAACATAACTACTGGGCACGCCCCGCGTGGGCAGACAAAGGGTGTGCTCGGTACCTGCCGTACATAAAACAGCTCCCACAGGGCTGCCGGTTGTGATATTTCGCAGTCGGAAAGTTAGGCAGGTAGGGATCATGATTACAAGTTGCCGTTGACGGGTATGAGGCCAGAGGCGAGGGTGGTAACCTCTGGCCGAGGATTCAAATAATGCAGCCGTGAGAACGCTGCCCCTAGACAACCGTTTCGTCCCAGCTACAGCGTGAACTAGTCGCGTTGTGGCGTGGAAGCCCACTGTGGAATCCCTCTTATAGGGCGTCCGACGCTTTCCCGGGATGGGTGGGGGAAGATATTAGGACGTAAATTTTTCCATCCCAACTCATGAGAAAGTCGATCGAGTGCACTATTTAAACGCATAGTGTCGGATCGACCGGGTGCCTCCTGGTTGGGGCGGCCCCCAGGCGGGGTCCTGGTCGAGCGCCCAAGCGCCCAGGCGGGGGACTTGGGTGAGGGGCCCGTGTGGGGGCCGTCCTCACGAGTGGGCATCTCCAATGTGCCGCTCCGCGGCCCGATACGTCGGACCGGGGAGGGGTAATTTGGTGGGGGGCATAAAAGTCTAGACTCGCCCCGATGACGCCATTTCTTAATGTAACATTTCAGTAGGCAAATACGCTATTTAAATGGTCTGAGGTTGTTCAGCTCTAATTTGATAGATGGAAATTAATTATTTAGATGCCACCTAAGTTGACTCTGGTTTGTGGTGAGTAAAATGAGAGGCAGTGTTAGTGATTTTATGTATCTGGATGGAGCCAAGTTGCTTTGTTAGTCCTCTGTTTGCAATGGTGTTTATTTCGCTACTGACATATATTTATAGTTATCCACACAGCTCTGTGAATAATGCCGAGCGTTATCGGCAGACCGAAATCTTCAAATAATGCCGAGCGTTATTGTTAGACAGAAATGTTCCCATAATGACGCACATTTCTAGAAATAATTAAGATCACATTCCAAGCCGGGGTAGGGGTGTAGTTTTAAGTAGTGTAGGATAGATCGATCGTTAATGAGAATGGCACAAACAAATCTCAAAACCGAAGCTACCGGTATGCACAAGTTAAATTTAAAAAATTTAATAGGCCTAACTATAGCCTATATATTGGATATAGGACAATTAATTGTGCCTACATCTGCTCTGTTAGGGGCCAACATATTCGACCTATAGAGTGTTACTAATAGATCCAGTCAAACCTCCTACTCCTAGACATAACTAATTTTCTGGTATTTCATATTAAATGTTATACCAGTAATAAAAATGGTGCCGGTATTCTTCATGTAGACTCACTTTCACCCATTGTAGATATGTCTTTAAATGATGTCAAAGCTTGATAGGATATCGTTTAGTTTTTTAAAAGCACTATGATATATCACGTAGTCCAGAAATGTTCTGACAGAAATAGTTGACATGCCGTGCAACAGTGTTATGATGCAGAGAGGTGTCTGCATCAGGCGGCCATGTGAGAGACGGGGAGGGGCATATAGGCCCTACAACGATAATAACAGAATCTAATCCTGTTTAAGTTTAAGGCTAGTATTTTTTCCTCATCCTTGGAGGGTGTCCCTAAGTCTACCCAGCTCTGGCCTTAGCTGGGAAAAGTAAAGATGGCTGGTTATTGCGCTGGCCATACACTCAAACTTGTAAACGCTGCTTCAATTGCCCCAAGGGAACTTTACTTCCCAAAGACTCGCAATGCATCCTACGACCAGCAGGGTTCCAATTAATTTGTGTATGCTTTTTTTGTATTTAGACCCATAGTTACAACAGTGGCAGTATGGCTTTTTGTATTGAGACCCATAGTTACAACAGTGGCAGTATGGCTTTTTGTATTTAGACCCATAGTTACAACAGTGGCAGTATGGCTTTTTGTATTGAGACCCATAGTTACAACAATGGCAGTATGGCTTTTTGTATTTAGACCCATAGTTACTACAGTGGCAGTATGGCTTTTTGTATTTAGATCCATAGTTACAACAGTGGCAGTATGGCTTTTTGTATTTAGACCCATAGTTACAACAGTGGCAGTATGACTTTTTGTATTGAGACCCATAGTTACAACAGTGGCAGTATGGCTTTTTGTTTCAATTTTCAACATTTTTTTTACAAGAGCTAAAATTGTTGATGTCAATGATATTGATGTGTTTTAAGTACGGTACCAGTATATTCATTTCATTGTCATCACTAAGTGTTATTTCAACTATTTCTGGAGCGGCATATTGTGTACCTACTTATTATGATACGTATTAGAAAAATTAGAAAATAAAATGAAACAAATAAAACGTGACATATTATTTCAGCTATACATTAATACACAACTTTGAGATATAAAATATTTGAATAAGTAAGTTATTAATATTTATTTGTTAATTAGAGAAAAAACAAATGGATGTCTATGAGTGGAATTATACAAAGAAAATTAAACAGTCAAAAGAGCTAAAAGTATATCACAATGTACAGTTAGAACAGCTGTATCTGACTTAAACATGGTTTATGCGGCTCATC